GTCAGTCTGTTTCTCTCCTGATGGAAATACATTAGCTTCTGGTAGTTAAGATAACTCTATCCGTTTATGGGATGTCAAAACAGGATAATAAAAAGCGAAATTAGAAGGTCATACTAGCTTAGTCTACTCAGTCTGTTTTTCTCCTGATGGAAATACATTAGCTTCTGGTAGTAATGATAAGTCAATCCGTCTATGGGATGTCAAAACAGGATAATAAAAAGCCAAATTAGATGGTCATACTAGTAATGTCTACTCAGTCTGTTTCTCTCCTGATGGAAATACATTAGCTTCTGGTAGTAGTGATTAGTCTATTCGTTTATGGGATGTGAAAAATGGAAAAGAAATTTCGTCTGCTGATAAAAAATATAAAGATATTCTTGCTAAATTCAAAGCACCACTATTTTCAAATAATCCTCTGGCAGGTATGTAATTAATTATTACCTTTTAGAATCCAACAATATTACAATTCTAAGAATATCTTAAACACCATTATTTTAAGCATAAGGAGCTTTGATCTTGAAAGGAGAATTTGTAAATTATGAAGGATACGATTTAAGATCATTATTCAAATCAAAAGGAAGTTACATTTTGGAAGATATAAAAAACTTCAACTTAAAGTAAAAAGAAGATTGTATTGTATATTGAAATAATTGAATATTATTTGTTTTCAGGTTAGTAATTCTATATTTATTCAATCTTTTATATTTTTAGTTTTGTGTAAAACTACATCTTCAATTTTTACTCATAATTTTTTTATACAAAAAGATTGCCATTACTGTTTTGACTATTAATTAAATTTGAGTTTTTATTTAGTATATGCAATTGTGAAACATTTGCAATTTTATACTATCATCTACAATATTATGATAGGTTAACTTAATTTATTTTTTTTTATTAAAGGGATTGATATTAATAGTTTGATAATAGTAAAAGATAGATTTAATAACAAAAATTCTAAAAGAAAAAAATGTGTCAAGAATTCAAACATTAAAGTAAATACTAGAAATAATTTAAACTAGATTAAAAGTATTAATAATAAGAGTGGATGATATTTAATTTTGAAAGTAATGTACCTATCACCTTTGATTATTATTCTTTAATTGATGTTATATTATAAAAGACAGGAAAAAAACGTTATATTAATCATCAAAAAGTAGTATATTTTAGAAATTATTAAGATTTACAGAGATAATTATAACTTCTCTAATCGCAATCTAAGATTCTTAATTACTGATTAACTTAAGCTCAACTTAAATACATCATTTATAAATTACTGAGTTTATGTATAATCATTTTTAATTTCAAGCGAATTTTCAAGAAATTAATTAGTGTCTATTCAGAAAATAAAATCCTTCAAGACTTTCAAAACTACCTAGATAATTTGCATTTTGAAAAATTACCTCCAAATAATGAAGTATTTGATATTCTTATATTTTCAAAATTTTAGTTTGTTAGATCCACCTACATTTCAACCAATATATTAATTGCATTAGATCCACTTATTATAAATAAATTATCAATCTTAGTGAGATGAACTAAGAATTTCAAAAATTCTGATATCCTAACCTCTTGTGATATTTTTTTAATGAAATATTATCTTGTTTCAGCATAGATTTCCGTGGAATAATTAACAGAATTAATATCATGCTATTTTATGGTTTCGATCAAACGAGTAATTAAATTAATAGTCTTTTTAAACATATCAAATTATTTTAATTTTTCAAAAAGTGATATATTCTCAATTTAATTAAAAGTTTAAGAATATTTTACATCTATTTTTTCCAGAAACTGTAAGCAATCCTAATCTTGATTATTTTCTTTTGACAAAATTTCTATTATAGTATTCAATATTTATATATCAAAATCTTTTGATATAACTAACACTTCATATAAATCAGCTGCAATTAAGAATTCTTATATTGATTTATAGGTAAATTAAAAGTTAGCACCATTTGATTAAACTAGAGAACAACTTCGTATATCTTTTCTATAAGATCCAAATTAATCATCATCATTAAAAAAATCATTGAGCCATTTTTCCTTTTCTTTTTCTTCTTTATATAATAATCCTTATTGTTAAAATTATACTTAAGTCATTTCATTCATGCTCATTGCTTTCGCAAGGTTAGTTGAATATTTTTTTAAATCATGTAGAAAACGATCAATATTAATAGATTTTCCTAATTTTCTCAACTTTTCTATTTATTTCTCATGATGTTAATTTATAAACTCATCATAAAAATCATAACTTGTAAGATTCAATTCTTTTATTGCATCAATAACTACTTCAATAACAGCTTCTCTCTTTTTTCTTTTTGAATTGCAACTTCATCTAATAAATAATCTAATTCCAAAAGTGGTTGTTATAATATCTTCAATAGTTAAGTCTTTAATCCAATATTTTCTTAAGTAGTCTAGACTTTTATCAGAGTAGAATTTTCTTCTATTTTATTCCAAAATTTGAAAGCAATTTCTTGATAGTTTAGTTTTTCTAAATTTTACATTGTATAGATGAAAATTATGAATCTAAAAATATATATTTAGTGAGA